GAAGGAAGGAAGGAAGGAAGGAAGGAAGGAAGGAAGGAAGGAAGGAAAGAAGGAAATGAAGGTGACTACTAACTACCCTCCCCTTTTTCTCCATGACTATTCTGGGGGCTGTTCTCTAAGGGAATGGAGACCAAACACAATTTTAGATGCATTTTGGATTTCTCCATTACCAAATACTAACTTAGTGCCTTGTTCATTCTCTAACACTGGTTTTCAAATTTCACCAGTGACCCACCATACGGGCCACATCTGCTCTCTTTGGAGTCCAGTATGGCCTCAGACAGACCAACTGGTTGAAAGCAGGCATATGGGACCCACAGTTTCCATATGCCCTACTGTTTTTTTCCAACACACATAAGACATATCTTCATCAGTCATTGGCACACACTCTCCCATGCCTATCCTGTTGGCTTCTACTACATTGTCACAGGCTACTGACAGGCAAAATTGCAGAACTAGCAGACCACAGGAAAGAAATGGAACATGTAAGTTGTATCCACACTCTGCCAATACCATACTTTGTGGACCCGAAAAATGACAGAACTGAGGCAAGCTGGAAATGCCCCCAGCTCCCCGCGCTGCCTTTAAGAAGTGTGTGGGAGATGCTGCCAAGGTCCTGTAAAACATAACATGAAAATGAATGTCTTTGATTCTGTCAGGCTCAGAAAGGGACATGAAAGATGTGTGGGAGCTTCTGCCTCTGTGCTGCTCTGGGCGGTTTCCCTGGAATCTGCTCTGCTTTATGTCAGTGTGACACCACTCTTAGTCAGATGGTTGGATCACACTCTGTTGCTTGAGCTACCCTTTGAAAAGGATGTTTTATTAATGCACAGTTACTGGCTTGTCAGAAGTGCTTCACTGAACCTGGGATGGGCAGAAGCTCATATCCCATCGACCTGTAGCTCATCTCAAGTGACTTAGATTCATTCATTCTGAGATTTCTGTTTTCTTGTAGAAGATTTTATGGAACTAAGTTCTGGAGTGGGTTGTGGGGAGCAGAATTAAAAAAAAAAAACAGACTAAGAATTTCTTGGTAGGATCAGATCCAGGGTCCGTCTGTCTCAGGAATTCTATCCTTTTGAAATCTACATCCCCAGCTCCCCAAAGGCTTTCTCTCCAAATTCTATTCCATTGTTTTTACACTTTAATGGGAGAATCTGCTTTCCCAGAACAGAGCAGTCTGCTCTATTCTGTCTGAAAGACAATTTGTTGTAATTATTCAAATTCCATCTTTACAAACGGCTCCATGGATGGAGGGTGGACTTTCCCCTTTAGCCTTGCTTATTACTGATGAACTGGTGCACACTGTTGTAAATATTTTGACTGAGAACATACGTTAGATAAATTATTCTTGTCCCCTTATACCTTGCTAACCAAACAGCTGCCTCCCATTTTCTACCTGAATAACATAAGTAAGGCTACCCCCTACTATTAGCCTAATTTTTCCCTTTAAAGGTACCCTGGACCCTTCCTATGACAATCTCAGACCGTAGAGGTTGCAGGGTTGTGGGCAGGCAACGGAACCGTTTATGGAAGGGTATACTCTTAATATTTCCTTTGACTCTTTCTACACGAGAGCCTGGGGCCATTAGTCACTTTTCTGTGTCTGTGATCACGGTCAATACAACTTACAAAAGAAAGTGTTTACTTGGGTATAGGGTTGCAGAGAGTTAGATTCTATGATGGTAGAGCAAAGACGTGGTGGCAGGAAGAGCTGAGAGCTCGTGTCTCAAAGCTGCAAGCAGGAGGCAGGCAACACACTGGGCATCATGGGAGAGTTTTGAAACCTCCAGCCTGCCCCCAATAACACACTTCCTCCAACAGGGCCACGCTTTCTAGTCCTTCCCAAACAGCCAACGACTGGCAACTAAGGATTCAAATATATGAGTCTATAGAACCATTCTCATTCAGACCACCATACTGGGCAAACTGGATTGTTTTGTAAAACACTCTGATGAAACTGGTCAGGAAAGTGCGGTAGGAAAATACTCAAGATTTATTTCATCAAAATAGAGTATGTTTAATTTGGTTTCTCTACTAGGTCATAAGCTCTGTTGAAGACAGATGGGAGTCTCATAGTTCTTGTTTCTTGCACATCAACAGCTCAGATATTACTGAGAATCTATGCTTAGTAAATGTTACATTACGCGGTTCTCTGCTATGTGTTAGTCCGCACGCAAGAGGTCCAAATGCTTGATTCACGGTTATTCCCTAAAGCCCAGCCCAGCATAAATAAGAGTGAAAAATAAATTTTTAGTGAATAGATAATCTTGTTAAAAGATTTCTCATACTCTTGGGATAATTTTAAGATGAATTTTAGCAATTTAAACCAATGTAATACATACTTTTTAAATGGGGTTGGGTGGCTGAAGAGAGGGCTCAGTGGTTAAGAGCACTGTTTGCTCTGTGAGTTGGAGGTCAGCCTGGTCTACAGCTGGTCCTGTTCTAGGTCAACCAGAGCTACATACACACAGAGGAACTCGGGGGTGGGGGTGTTGAGGTTTTACTATGTGAAGATGTTGAGGAAAGAATAATCTCTGCATTGCACAAAGGAACACACAAAGTAAAATTCGTTCAAGGAGGTAATTTCTCTTTATAAGAAGGTTGTGCCACAACCCAAAGCAGGCTAAGAAGCACACTTGCCAAGCTAGCTCCTTTATCCCTGATGTAGATGGTGACTTTGTCTCATCCTGTTGGTAAATTTGATCTCACAATCTGACGAGGCTGGACCATCAGGGCAAAAGGACAGGGGGAGGATCAGGATATATGAGCCCTTGCTGGACTGATGACTTTTGATAGAAAATATAAGCTGTTTCTTACAAAGGTAAAAAGATGATATTAGTGATCAGTAAATATAAGTGAGATATTGAAATGCAACACACTGAGATGAATTTATGAAAGTCAAAAACAAGCTGAGGCTCCTTTCTGTGCATTCCCAAAGCTTACTGGAGAGATCTCCCCTTTATTCACATTCTCTTTCTCTTCCTCTCTCTTTTCCTCCCTCCTTTTCTCCTTCCCTTCCTCCCCTCTTTGTTTTTTCTTTTTGTTTGTTTGTTTGTTTGTTTTGTTTTTTTGAGACAGGGTTTTACTGTGTAGTCTTGGCTGTTCTGGAACTCACTTTGTAGACCAGACTGGCCTCAAACTCAGAGATTAGCCTGCCTCTTCTTCCTAGCGCTGGGACTAAAGGTGTGCGCCACCACACACAACCCTTACTCACATTCTTATTTGCCTATTATTTTAGACACCAATGGACTCCAAGGTCAACTTAACTCCACAGTCCTCGACCTTTACACAGGGTTACCTAAGACCG